ACTTCCAGTTGAGGACTGCCACTGGCTGTATAGCTGTTTGTACCAAAGTCATTGCAATTACCATCATTAAGCTACACCGTGGCAGGGAAGGGAAAGGATGTGTGCATGTTCGGGGCGCTTTGCTTAACCACCATGGGCCGCTTATTCACGCAAACCGCTGCACGCGCCTGGGAAGCCGACGCAGCGAGGAGTGAGCATTCTGGAAAACCAGCTCTCAAATTTAACTTGCGGAGGAGACAAAGGGACTTCTTAATGAAACCTAATATGCTCCAGGTCTGCCAGTTCCTCCAAAAGGCAAAGCGCTTTTCAGCCTTAGCTTAGCCCTGCAGGGCGTTTTGTGCCCTGGTTTATATGCAGCTTACAGAGACCTTTACCCCATAGAGCCAACCCGCAGGAGCTCCTTGAGTAACGGCAGTACCGAGAAAAGCTATCACACGGTTGGTCTCCAGCTGAAACGCTGCTCAATATTGAAAAGATTTCTTGCAAGTGCCACATAGCTCTGCTGGCACTCCTCGGGCCCTGACGGAGGGAGGACGCCTCCCTGGACACGCAATGAGAGCAGACCAGCAGCAAGTAGCCTCAGCTTGCTTCAAGGGCCTCAGCTGTAAGGTTGCCTTGCGTACAGCAGATGTGACACCCCACTTGCTCAGGGTTCCCCATACCCTGAACCCACTCAAATGCTGTGCTAAGAGTAGTTGGACAGGGCTCACTTCCTGAAGACGCCCGGCCCACACTCCCAGTACAGCTCTGGCAATCCCGGCCTCCAGAGCAGAGCCTCTTGTCTGGCAGCAGCACTTCAGAGCTCCTGAGCCTTGTCCACGAGCACACACAGGCTCTGGTTTTCCCCAGCAAAACATGGATGCAAACAGAATTCTTTTACAATTTTTGTACTATTCTAAACGTTAGCGATCTGAGGAGCCCATGTTGGAACCAGGATGGGATCACCCCGCGTTATGAGATGATGGGAAACGCCTGCTGTCCCTCACGACGCCCAGCCCGGAAGGGGGTTTGCGGCTCCCACCACCTCCGTGCGCCGCCCTCGGGCGCCGC